TGTTTTCAGTTAGAATTACCTTATTTTGTTTTGAAATGTTTTGATCCCTTTCCAGGTAACTGAAGCTACCCGGAAGTAGCTAAGGAAGCCACTTGAGTCTTCCTATCTCCCTCCAGGCTGTCCTTTTAGACCCCAGTTCACTCTCAAATTATCCACACACATCACCTGTTTCCAGTTCTGTGAAAAACTGATGTAAAATGGCTTTTGTACTAAATGGAGAGTCTTAGATGGGACAAGTATCAGAGAGTCATTTAGATGGATCGAGACTTTCTCTGAAGGTCATTATGCTTGCATTTTATCTGGAAGCTTCCATGGATGACGCTTTGGTCCCAAGAAGATTAACTAGTGCTGAAACAAATTTCAGGCTGGTAGGAGACATAAAACAAATACTTGAACAACCTTGTTTATCAATGTAATCAATGGAGATTCCTGTGAGGACTTGACTTAGACCAGGATTGTGATGCCACCCACTATGCTTTTTGCAAATAATTTTATGTGAACCAGCCATGCTCATTCATTTACAGATGCTTTGTGGCTACTTTGATGCTCCAATAGGAGAAATGAAAAGTCACTTTGCAACAGTAATCTCTACAAGACCCTGAATCAGTGAAGTGCTGTCCCATCACCTTGGCCATATTCTAATCCTAAGAAGCAAGTTACTAGAACCAGCCCACACTTAAGGGGGAGGGAATTACCCAAGGACATGACTATAGGAGTGGGGCCTGTTAGAAAGCTGTCTGCCATAGTCCATGAAATACTTCACAGTGGAAATGCATCCTAAGTTCTCTTAGAGCACTGGCTTCTCTCCTGAATGATAATAGCCCCTTCACTTTCCCAAAGTCTCACCTTTGGGAGCCTGCATCCCAGTACTGGGTACCTAGTCGGTGCTTTATGACCCCTGAGACACTAGACTTTAAGAAACAAGGTCTTCGAATCTCACTGTCTGCTTTGTCCTGTCTTAGTGCCTGGGACCATTTATGGTATTGTGACAATTGTTTTATTTTTTAGCACTCATGATGTGTGGCTCCATGTGATACTGTACAGTTTTGGTGTCCTTTGTGTACTTACTTGACTTGCCTCCTGGGCCAGGCTGATGAGGACCTTGCACTCTCATTTGCACAGGAGCTTAATAGGTATTGAAGTAAACTGAACTTGACTGGCTAGTGCAGTTCTCTACAAAGGCTTGTGTACATTCTAAGTTGGGAGAAAGAATGTAAATGGTGTTAACTTTGTGGACTAAATTAGTTTTCTCTAATATGTCTTCAACCTTGGCTTATAGCAGAATCCTGGGGTCGGGGGGGTGTCTTTTAAAATCTTGAGACCACCTCCATCCAGACCAACTCAAGTCCAAATCTTGGAATGGGGCTAGCCATCAGCCCATCAGCATTTTTATTTTTTGGGGGGGTGGTACTGGGGATTGAACTCAGGGTCACTAGACCACTGGGCCATATCCCCAGCTCTATTTTGTATTTTATTTAGAGACAGGGTCTCACTGAATTCCTTAGTGCCTCACTGTTGCTGAGGCTGGCTTTGAACTCGTGATCCTCCTATCTCAGCCTCCCAAGCTGCTGGGATTGCAGGCACACGCCACCGCACCCAGCTGCTATCAACATTCTTGAAAGCTCACTAAGAGATGCTTACATGCACCCCAGGTTGAAAACTACTGTACCAGACCAGGGTCTCCCAATTAGAGGAAGTTTTGCCTTTCAGAAATGTGCTAAGGACGTATACAACTGAGAGAGTGCTCCTGGCATCTATCTGGTGAGTGGAAGTCAGGGATGCTGCTAAACACCTGCAGGCCACAGGAGAGCTCTCTCCGTCAACAGAGAACCAGCTAGCCCCCAAAGTTGAGAAACCCCTTATCCTATGAGTTGGGATGTTGGTAGTAGCAGCTCATGGAGTGGCTCTGTTCCAGATGCTAAGCTTTTTTCAGGCATGGATAGCTTGAGGTGTCTGGACATTATATACTGGATGATCTCCTCCCCAATGCTTTCTACAGAGAAATATGTGCTTTTAAAAGGGACACAGCACTTAAATCCATGAATTTGAGTCTACAGATATGTATGTGATCTCTACCACATACATGCATGTACACATCTATATATGTGCTATGAATACCCTACCCATACAGACACACACATGGGATGTGGGGGGTGTTGTTCCAGTTAGAGGAACAGCTAAGTTTTAATCATCTCCTTTTACTTTTCTTTCTCCTAATTGTAGCCTCCTGTCCTCTACTTGTCTGGTAAAGGTCCTGAGTCCTTTCTGACCCTTTGCTGTCCTCAGCCCTCAGCACAGAGGAGGCCTCCTGCTCTGCCTTACTGACCTGAGGGCCCATCATCAAGTACAAGAGCCTGCTGGTTCTGCAGCCTCAGCATTGGTCCCAGCCCACCCCACCCAGGGTGATGTGCCACCAATCTTTAATTCCCTCCAAAGGTCCACAGCCCTTTTAATTACTATTGTCTTGTAGAAATTGAACTTAACAAGACATTTTAAGAAACTGGTTTTGGGGAATAATTGGTATGCATGTACTGCATCTATTTATGGTGTCTGTTTGGTAAACCTTAATGTGTGCACCCATAAAACGAACACAAACAGGATGGTGACATATCTGTCACATACCAAAGTTTCCTCAAGCCCCTTTTAATGCTGACACCCCCTCCCAAGCAACCACTGATTTGCTCTCTGCCTCCCTGGCAGTTTCCTTTTCCAGGAATGCCTCTTCTGAAGATCTGTTCACATAAATCTCACACCCTTTCTCATTTATCCTTTCCTATAAAACATCGTGACATTGATTGTACTGCTCCATGGCTTTGTCTGATTTTTATCCTTTTTGCTTCTGTTGAAGACGCCCTGCCCCCCTTGGAAGCCAACTCAGACCCGTTTTGCTACCACCTACAGCTGAAGACTTTAGTTTGCACCCACTTGGGTCCAGCCTACACACCGGAGCCAGATTCATCTCTTAAAAGTACATCTCAGATCATGTCACTCGCCTGCACACAAATCTTCCCTCTTTTGCCACTGCCTGCAAAATGAAGCTCAGAAGCTCAGAAACTTCAGGCTGGCTTGGATGCCTCCCACGGGGCAAGGGAGGGCCCACCTGCCTTTCTGGCACCTGCCCACACTACCCTGCTGTCCTTGAGAAACTCAGCCATACCAGGGCCCCAGCACCGCACTGGTCCTGCTTTCCTTCCCTCAAGCCTTTCATTGGCATCTGTTCTTCAAGCCCTATCATCCAGAAACCCTTTCCTTGGCTCGCCCTACTAACCAAGATCTGTGTCTACCTCACTCCCCCATGTCCCTGTGTCTCCTCTATTCTAATTAAAGGTTGTCTTACATCTTTGTATGTCACTACCTCATCCCCCCACCCCTCCAAGAATGGGTGCCAGGAAGGGTGCACCTGCAGTCCCCAGCAGTCACTCCCATAGCAGCAGGACTCCATAGACACTGAATGAATGGAATTCAGAAGAGTGGACATGCTGTCCCCTAGGTGGTCAAGGAAGCCAAGTGCCACTGGAGCTCAACATTACTTCTTACAGATCTCCCTCTCTTCCCCTAATCAGCACCAGTCTCCCTAATTCCTTGGTACCCCACTTGACCAAGCTAACAGCAAATATATGATATTCCGGAAAACCAAACCAGTTCCCACAAAAGGCAGAGGAAGAGGCTCACAAGTATCTGTTTCTTGAGTTTGCTTATTCCCAGCCATGTAAGTGTATCTTTACTTTTATATAATCATTCATCTTGCCATTTATCTTGCACTGCTCAGACCTTATTACAAATATTGGAAGTTAATTTATTTTACAATTTTCACAGAATGCCATTTCAGAAAGGAAAGCTCCTCCTTAAACAGATTTTAGGACAAGCTTTTAAAAGGGTTTGCTGAAAAATGCTTCACTTTATGGCATTAAAAAGGCTCAGCATTCTTAATGTTCTTATATAGTTGAATTTTTATGTCTAATACTGTAAGAAAGAAAGCTGAGAAGCAACCTATCATTTAAGTGATTTTTGCATTTAGCTCTTTAACAGGAAGCCCCTCTGTGAATTGACTTAATGTGTTGCACTAGTGGTTCTCAGACTTTGAGGTGTTCGTCCCTTTATACTTTTTTTTTTCTTGGTTAGGTCTCTTTATACTCTAAAGAATAATCAAGTCCTTCCCCAAAAGCTTTTACTCATATAGGGATTTATACCAATTTTTCTATATTAGAAATTGTAACTAAGAAATGTATTTCTTTAATAATGAAATTATTAGGGTTAGCTGGGGATGTGGCTCAAGCTGTAGAGCACGTGCCTGGCATGCAGGGGTGCTGAGTTCGATCCTCAGCACCACATAAAAATAAAATAAAGATGTTGTGTCCGCTGAGAACTAAAAAATAAATATTGAAAAATTCTCTCTCTCTCTCTTTGAATAAAGTCTATCTTTTAAAAAAAAAAAAAAGAAAGAAATTATTAGGGTTGGGGATATAGCTCAGTTGGTAGAGTGCTTGCCTCCCATGCACAAGGCCCTGAGTTCAATCCCCAGCACACCAAAAAGAAATGAAAGAAAAAGAAATAAAATAATATAATAAAATTATTAAAATAACAAACCCATTCTCTGTTATCCTAAATACTGAGAGTAGTAAGTACAATTTTACATTTTTGTAAATCTCTTTAATATCTAGTTTAATATTTGATAGCCGGATACTTGCCTGCGTCTCTGCATTCATTTAGGGTATCTTGCTTTATTTGAAGTATAGGAATCTCTCATCACAGGTATGTAGTTGGAGAAGGGAGGAAGGTTTTAATGGCCTTTTCAAATACTTGTGGAGTTCTTCCTTTACAGTACACCAGAATTCAGTAAGTACCTATTTCTGTTTTTTCCTCTCTTCACAGTTTTTTAATATTGTTTAGTTGTCAATGGATCTTTATTTTTATTTATTTATACGTGGTGCTGAGAATCGAACCCAGTGCCTCTCACATGCTAGGCAAGCACTTTACCATTGAGCCACAACCCCAGCCCCTCTCTTCACATTTTTATTGGTGTATTATAGTTGTACATAATGGTGGGGATTTGTCATTACATATTCATACATGCACACAAGAGAACCATATAATTTGGCCCATATCATTCAGTAGTTGTTTATTAAAGATTTTGTAGTGTGGAATATGAAACCATGTTGGTGAACTTTTTGTACTCTGTTCCATTAGAATTCATCACTCTATTTGTGCTTTGGCTTTTTATGTTCCAGAATGATTACAAAATGAAATTATATCATTTGCAGGAAAATGGATGGAACTTGAGACCATTATGTTAAGTGAAATAAGCCAAAGTCAGAAGTTCAAGGGTCCTGTGTTTTCTCTCATGTGGAAGCTAGAGAGGGAAAAGGAAATAAAAGGTGGTGAGTAGGGAGATCTCATGAAAAGGAAAGGGAGATCAATACAGGAAAGGGACCAAGGGGGGAGAGGTGGAGAGGGTAGGGGGAAATGCTGGGGAGTGATATTGGCCAAATGACATTGTTATATTGTGTGCATGTACAAAAAAAAAAAAAAATTCCATCACTATGTACAACTATAATGCACCAATTAAAAAAAAAGTGGAAAGAGAAAAAAATGATTTTGTAAAAATCACATACCGGTTGTTTGGAAAACATTGGTTCTCTGAATTGATCTATTCAAATATTAACACATTTCATTAAACCATATTTTTAAAAATCCCGTTTGTTCCTATCACCACTGATTGCATCAAGAAGCCCTAGAGCTGTCAGTTTCACTATGGCAGGTACAATTTCCCCCAAATTCATTGGCAGCAGATACTACCAGTTTTCTTTGAAATGACAGACTGCTCACTTGGTTTTTCTTTTTAAGGAAATTCCTGCCAAATTCCTAAGTCTGAATAACTATAGCTTGTCATTTTTTTTTTTTTTTGTACTGGGGATTGAACTCGGGGGGCATTCTACCAGAGCTACATCCTCTACTCTTTTATAATTTTTTTTTATTTTGAGACAGAGTCTCACTAAATTGCTGAGACTGGCCTTGAACTTGTGGTCCTCCTGCCTCAGCCTCCTGAGTTGCTGGGGTTACAGGCGTGTGTATGCTATCATGTCTGGCTCCTTCTTGTCAGTCATCTTCCAACAAAAGACAGTATTCTACAAAGAAAAAAAAAAACCTTTTAAAGGGAAACTGGCTCTTTTGTATTTCTCTTCCTGTGAGTATATGGTGGGTAAAGAATGTGCTAGTGGGGCCAGGTGTGATGGGGCACACCCGTGATCCCAGCAGCTGGGGAGCCTGAGACAAGAGAATCAAGAGTTCAAAGCCAGCCTCAGCATTGGTGAAGTACTTAGCAACTCAGTGAGACCCTGTCTCTAAATAAAAATACAAAATAGGGCTGGGGATGTGGCTTAATGGTTGAGTACCCCTGAGTTAAATTGCCAGTACTCCTCCCGATCAAAAAAAAAAGAATGTGCTAGTGGGAAGTATATTTTGCAGCCACTGCTTGATATTGGCTAAGGGGTAAGCAGTTTTGTTGGGGAAATGTCAATGCAGTGAAGTAAATAACATCTTAGCACCATCATAAAAGAGTTTCCATCTCCCAGACCTCCTGAAAGGGCCTCCGCATCTCCCAGGGCTATGCAGACCATGCTTTTAGAACCCCACATTCTACCTCTTAGCTCAGTGTGGCGCTGGTGGACCTTCAGTACACAGGACGGAATCACCTGGGAGCTGGCATGAAATGCAGGAGCTCAGTCCTCTCCCAGATCTGTTTGAAAAGAATTTTGCATTTTAATGTGTGCAATTAAAGTTTCAGAGCCACTGCTGTTTAATGGGCTCTGCAAACTTTTCCTGCAAAGGGCCTGATGGTAAGTATCTGTGGCAACTACTCAACTCTGGCTCTGTAGCTTGAGAATAGACCATATGTAAGTGAGCAACTGTGGCCGTGTGCCAATAAAACTTTATTTATGGACACCAAAATTTGAATTTCATATACTTTCCATGTGTCACAAACTATTTGAGCTTTTTTCTTTTCTTTTCTTTTTTCAATACCTTTATATTATTTATGTGGTGCTGAGGATTGAACCCAGTGCCCCATGAATGCAAGGCAAGTGCTTTACCCGTAAGTCACAACCCCGGCCCTCTTTTCTTTTTTAACTACTTAGAAATGTAAAAATCATTCTTAGTTCACAGGATGCATTGGAGAGCCAGATTTGGCCTGTAGGCTACAGTTTGCTGACCCTTGCTCTGTATCACTTGTTTGTCAGCTTGGGTGCTCACTGAAATCACTAAAGGAACTTGAAAAGCCAAACATAACCTAATTCCTGAAGTCCCACCTCTAGGAATTCTGATTTATTGCTGTGGAGTGAAGCCTGGGCATTAGGATTTTCAAATGTTCTCCAGATGACTCAATGTGCAGGAAAATTTGACAATGTCTAATTCTATAATTTTCTCAAAGTAAATTTTATTTTATGCATTTCTTTTTACATTTTAGAATTTGGTGGTGTTATCAGAGGGCGGTGACGAGGATGGTGCATTGTAACCTCAGAGCAGGGTTTTTCACTCTGGATCAAAATGCTGGTAGTGTCCAATCATTGTTTGGGAGCAGGGTTGTCCTATGATATTTAACAGCATCCGTGCGTGGCTTCTACCTCCCACTTGTCAGTAGCATCCTTTGGGGAGGATTGCCCATGATTGAGACCCACTGGTCTGAATATGTGTAGGCGTTTTGTTTCTGCTGTCTCAGGCTTTTCACTTTGGCACTGTAGACATTCAGGGCTGGATAAATCTTTGTTGAGAGGGGCTGTCCTATGCAACGTGGGATATTGCACATCATCCCTGGCCTCCTCTGACTAGATGCCAGTAGCACCCTTTCCCACAGTTGTGACTATCCAAAATATCTCCAGGCATTGCCAGATGTCCCAAGGGGCACAATCATCCCCTGTTGAGAATGTTCCTTAGCCTTCTCAGAGTTAGGAAGGCTTGGGTCCACTGACATTCACTTCTGCTTCTCTTAAGTAGGATTCTGTCCACCTCCATTTCCCTGTTACACCTCTATTTCCCTGTTGTTTCAAATAGCTGTTACTAGGTGTTTGAAAGTTGCAAAGCTTGGTTCCTCCTTTTTTTTTTTTTCAATTTTGTGCTCATCAGGAATCAATAAAGTAGCAAAGAAGGACTCTGTAGAGGAGTGCGGGGTGTGTGTATGGGGGGATGGAGGGGGGAGAGAGGGAGAGAGGGAGAGGGATGGAGGGAGGGAGGAGAGAGAGAAACAGACATTCATTTCCTGGGGAAGAATCTGAGCCCTGTTCCCACTGACCCCCCCTCCGGAGCCAGCATTAAATCTACAGCCAAGATCACGGACAACTTGGGCAAATCACTTGGCCATTATGAACTCACGGCCATGGCAACGGCCATCCACAAGCCCGAGGACAAAAGGTATCTTATTCTGTTGTTCTGCACAAAAGGTTCTAGGGATGCAGGAGACAAAATGGCTATTGAGAGAGGCAATGATGTGTGTTTTTTTCTCCCTACTATGTGGTTTATATTTAAACTGTCTTAGGCTAATGCACATTGGAATTTTTGTGTGAATCAAAACCTAAAACTCTATTTAGCTAGAGACTAGCTAGATGAAGGCTTAAAGCTAAACAGAGGTTTTGGGGTTTGGTGAGAGGTCTTGAGAATTACTCGTAAAATGTGCTAGAAAGCCTGGCATTGATTTTTTTTTTTTTTTTTTTTTAACTAGTAGGTCACCATGAAGCTAGAATTAGGCAGCCAATATAGATAAGTAAATTGAGTCAGGTCAGATCCAGGAGGCCAATTTGAATGAGTCCAGGAAATTGGAGACTGCCCCCTGAGGGATTGAAATGCCTTCAGAGCCCTTCCTCCACCCTGCTCCAACCTGTTGCTAAGGTAACCAGTCCCCGGAATTGCCCCTCCCTGCAGGGAGCTATAAAGTTGTTAATGTGTCCTTGCAGGGCTCCATCCTGCCCTTCCCCCTTCAGCCCACCTGCTTCCCACCTTTTGGCCATTCCTGGGTCTAGTCTCCTAAGCAGGGAGGAGAAAGATAGGGGAAGAGGACAGGAGAACAAAGGAAACCTAAGACATAAAAAGGCAGAATACCCCGCCTCTTGAGATACCAGGATACCAGCTATGGCCCCCTTCTCCCTCTCAGGAGAAGTCTGTTACTCCTTTTTATTTATTTATTTTTATTAAAAAAATTATATATTTATTTTTTTTAGGTGTAGATGGACACAACCCAATGCCTTATTATTTTTATGTGGTGCTGAGGATCAAACCCGGTCCCTCCCGTGCTAGGCGAGCCTTCTACCGCTGAGCCACAATCCCAGCCCCTGTTTCTCCTTTTTAAATAAACCCTGCTTTATATGCTTGCCTCAGCATGCTTCCCAAACTTCAAACTTCAACATGTGAGGAAGCAGGACTTGTCACAGATAATCGGTGGTATTAACAGTTATCTAGGGAAAAAAAAGTTTCCTTGCCTCTTCTGGTTCATGTTAACCAATGCTGCCATTGCTGGTTTGAAGCTTGGGAAGATTCTGTCTGTGGGTTTGTAAGAATATCCAAGAAAAGCGCTGATCTTTCTTGGCTAATATCAACTTCTAATAGTATGATGCTTTGCTGATACTGGACACACCCCCAAACTTAAAAATCATCAGCTTGCCTATGACTTCTTGCACTACAGACAATCTGAATCAGAGGTCCACTTCCTTTACATAGGTGCTCCCAGTACCATGCAAGGTGTCTGCTTTCTCAAGTAACTGTGTACCTGTTTTCTCAGCCCCTGCATATGCCATGACACTAAAGCTTCTTGGATATGAAAAATCCCAAGGTTAACAGTATTGTTGGCTCCGAAAAAGCACTATAATTGCACTCTTTTTTCAAGACAGCCTTAAACAACTTGGAACATTTGGGTTTTGTTCCTTGCAGTCCCTGGAACTTGTCATTTGATTTGCAAGTAGAGTATTGTGGCCAAACCCAGCAGGCTACCATTTTCTTAGGGAGAGAACACCAAACACCATTGAATGTGAAAGCAGACACTGCAGATGGACTCAGGATATACCCCTGAGGTGGGAAGATGGCACTGCTAACTAGCAACAGGCTTCTCCAATGTTCCTGTGCACATGGATCCTAGAGGGAAGTGCTTATAGTGTAGATGCTAACTCAGCTGGTCGGGGTTGGCCCAAGATTCTGTTTCCCACAACCTTCCATTTCTCACAAGCTGATGCTGCTGGCCTCAGGAAAGCACTTTCAATTGATAAGCAGTCCACTGGCATCTCTTTTTGACCAGTGATCATACTTTGAACACCAACCGGTGCTTTTAGATATGGGCTGCAAACCTTTTCTATAAAGAGTTACATAGCAGATGTGTCAGGCTTTGCAAGCATGTGAACTGTCACAACTATGGACAAAAACAGCCAGGTGATTTATAAATGAGTAAGTGCGGCTGTATTCCAATAAAATTTTATTTATGCAAGCAGATCATAGTTTGCTGACCCCTGGTTTTTGAAAAATTCAAGCATTGACGGTGATGGATACTGTGGTGGGTCATTGTTACTCCCTTTCATAGTAAGGGGGAAGTCATTAATTCTCCTGTGGTGATATTGCATTAATCATGGCTTGTCCCTTGATACAGAGTTTGATGGTCACTGTGGTTGGGATGACATAGTAGGTGAGGTTATGTCTGCCTTTCCTGGCTGGGTTTCTATCTAATAAGTATGAAATAAAACATTACTGTGGACATAAAATGTAAAAGAACTCCTTTAGGGCTGGGGCTGTAGCTCAGTGGTAGAGCACTTTGTCTAGCACATCTGAGGCACTGAGTTCGATCCTCAGCACCACATACAAATAAATAAATAAATAAATAAAAAGATTAAAAAAAAACCCCTTTCATCCCCTTCCACATAAATATAAAACTGGCTACATAGTTTGCAGACCTGGTATAATATTCTGTAAGGGAATATAATATTCTGTAAGCGTCGGAGGAAGAGACTGACTTTATGCAATAAGCAGGAGGGGGTTTATTGAGATTCCAGCATGCTGGGGCTCCATGCCCACTCGAGAAGGGAGAGCAGCCCAGAGCCCAGAGCCGGGGTTGAACAATGCTTAAGTACACTTTTTTGGGGGAAGGCAGGGACTTTACATACATCACAGTCTCCTTTAACAAATCACCATACACCGCGGGAAAGTCAAACAACAATTCTTAGACTTGATTAGTACATACATTGGCGGGAACAGGGCTGGCTGGAGTGATAGGTCATTCCTAAGGAGGGGGTTACATTTAAACTGATTGGTTCAGGCCCTGAATGTCTATGTGACAAGCTGCACAGGATCTTAGGCTATAAATCAACTAAATGGCCAGTAGGACATTGTCTTAACTGCCTCAGGAATTTAACCCATGCTTTGCAGTTTAGAAGCAGGTTTACAATGCCTGGTCCTTTACATTTTAACTTGGGCTTTGCAGCTTAGAATCTTTACCCTTTCAATTCATATGCTCTTGTTCAAAAATTAAAGAATTTCAAGGTGGCTGTAGCAGAGCATTAGGCCAAGCATGTGGCCCCACAAGACTGTAGAGGGAGCCGTTGCAGCCACTACCTCTGCTGTACACATACCTACCTATATTTCAACTTAAATGCTGTTTAATGTGAAGGTCCTAATATTGTAGAATCCAGTCTAAGAAAATATTTTGCTTTTTCTTACTGACTTTTTGAGGCAGTTTTGGGATGAGTGTGTACCATGCCCAGTGTTTGGTGATATCTTGCCCACTGTTGATACAGGTGGCATCTAGACTAGCACAGAAGATGCAGTGGGGAGCAATCCATTTATCAGTGGTTGGATATCCACCACCCAGATAATTTTTTTAATATTTATTTTTAGTTGTAGTCGGACACAATACCTTTATTTATTTTTCTGTGGTGCTGAGGATCGAATCCAAGGCCTTTCACGTGCTAGGCGAGTGCTCTACCGCTGAGCTACAACCCTGTCCCCCAGATAATTTTTGATCTGGTGTTATGCTTGAATTCGGGACCCCCAAAGACCACCAGAGACCCAAGATCGATGCAAGCAGCAAAGAGGTGTTTATTGCGAGCTAGCTTGGTCCTCCGCACGCACACACAGCAACTGGTGATGCTGAGAGGCCCTGAGCCCAGGGTTTGCAGCATTTTTATACATTTTTTGGAGAGGGCAGGGACTTCACATACATCATAGCATCCCTTAGCAAATCATCACACACCGCGGGAAAATCAAATAACAACTCTAAAACATGATTAGCACATTCACTGGCGGGAACAAGTTGGGTAGGGGTGATTGGTCAGTGCAAAAGGGGTATTCGTTTGAACTGATTGGTTTAAGCCAAGAGGGGTGTACGTGCTGAACTACATGGTTTCCCAATATGTTATCAACCACCATAAACTACTGGGAGGGTTATCTGGCATCCCAGGTATTTCCCTGTCTCATGCTGATTGGTGGCTGCTAGGGGGCTGCTATGGATCCCCACCTAGCCTGACTGAGTCAGGGACACCTGGCAGCAGATCTCTCCTGTAGATAAACAACTTAGCAGGGTGGGAATGTGCCTAGGAGTGCTCTGTGGGATTTGTCCCTTTCTTGGACAGGCTTTGCTCTGAGATAGAGGCTGGTTTTTCACTGGCCCACCAACCTAGAACAAGCTCTTATCGAGTTTATTCTACAGCAAGTTCTTAATTGCTGTTAAACATCATGATGCATTTATAGTTCCATTTTCTCCACAATATTCCCCAGCAGTGTTATTTCCTATCAAGTTTTCCCATACTGTGTGCTACCAGCTTCTAGACACACTAGCTGGCAGGGTCTGTAAGGGTTTTATCTATGCATGTGGATTAAAGATGACCAATATGGTGATTTCAGTTTTGTAGAGGTAAGGGTTCCTCCAGCCACAAATGAAATCATCTTTGAAAACATAAGGAAGTCAGCATCTGCTGTGACAGTGTGATTCATTAAAGTGATTCCCCAACTTCTTGAATCCTTGAATTCCCCTGCTGTTACCAAACTAGATCCACAGCACGGGGTATATGGAGTCCCTGGGAGATATAAATTGCAGGGAAACTTTAGCCTTGATCTACTGTTGAATTTGGGACTGGACAGCAGTGTTCTTCTAACCCCACTCATCTTTTTGAACCTGGGAGCAGCTGTGATGTTTCCTTTGAACAAAGCAGAACGTTCTAACCCTTTGGATGAGAGAGCCTTTTGAAGTGGCAACTGTGGATATGGAAGGATGAGTTCTGTTGTTAAAGGGCGAATGTGCTGTACCGGCACACCTAACCCTAACTGAATGATGAGAAAGGATGTGGGTTTATTAAAAATATATATACAGCAAAAATATCCAGAAATTAATGGACATTTGTCAGGTAATATGTCGCTGTCACATTAGTCATTTTAGTATTTTGCATATATATCTTTCAATAGAAAGCCTTTCCTCCTTCCTCCTCCAGTGTGAGTTATTTGCTTCTATCGTTTTCTCTCCTCCCCTGACTCTCCAAAATAAAACCTGGTTATGATCCAATTTATGTTATAGAAAATTGAATATTTGCCAAGTCAAAATGTGTCTTTTTTTTTTTTTTTTTTGGTACTGAGGATTGAACTCGGGGGTACTCAACCACTGAGCCACATCCCCAGCCCTATTTTGTATTTTATAGTAGAGAGACAGGATCTCACTGAGTTGCTCGCTGTTGCTAAGATTGGCTTTGAACTTGAGAACCTCCTGCCTCAGCCTCCCAAGCCACTGGGATTATAGGCGTGCTCCACCATGCCTGGCTCTAAAATGTGTCTTTTAAAGCAGCATTCTGTGATGATGAAACAATTGTTTTGTATCTGCATTGTCTGTCATGGGAGCCACTAGCATAAGTGGCTACTGTACACATGAAACATGGCTAGTACAACCAAGGACCTGAATATTTCTTTTTTTTTTTTAATTTAAAATAGTCATGTGCAAGTGGCTACCTTATTGACCAGTACCATCCCAAGGCCACATATCTCTGTCCAAGAAAGACCAGACACAACTGGGTTAGCCAGCAGGCAGGCATTCATCTTGTTCTTATCACAGAGACTGAGAATGAGGGGAAGAGTGTGAATGATGACACACATAGGGATCTTTTCTCTTTACATAATGGGGTACATCAAGGCTAAGGATGTTGGTTTTTCTTGGTTTTGAATCCTATACTGTTCACAAATCTGAAATGTCTAAAACTCTTTAAGGTACTGACTTGCTAGTGAACCTGAACCATACTGTGTACTGCTCCCCACTTTAACAAGGTTTCATCAATCTATAGAGAGATTGGTCTTCTTGAAAACTGCTGATCATCTTTTGAAATAGAAGGAAACACAAAAGTCTTATGATGTCCTGACTCCCCACCCTCGCCCCCCAATGAACTAAAGAGAAAGGTCTATAGTCACTTTCCATGTTGGGTTTCAGCAGATACTAGTTTCAGATGGGATGCTTATCTACACAGAGAAGTTCATCTCTGGTGTGTTGCACGCGGTGTTCATTTCCTGGATACTATGAAGACCATTTGGGGGAAGGAAATTTAACTGGCTTGTCCTGAGTAATGAATTGCTTGATTGCTCTTAAACATAATAATGTGTTTAAAGTTCCATTTCCCCCACAAGCCATTTACTTAAGGGTTTGGTTAATATAAATAGGGATGGGCCATCAGGAGAGATCCTGACATTATTGGGAGGCCAACACTGCTGTATTGAAACATAAATGTCTCCAAACTGAAAATGTTACCTTTCTGCCTATCAGAGAGGCCTTTATGGACATCTTGAGCAAGAGTCTCATCTTCTCCATATTAAGAGTGAAGTTTGGCTCTATCTCATTCATTTCACTTCATGGATGCTCATTTTGTCTTTTTTTTTTCCTCCCCCTCCTTCTGTTCCTTTCCCCCCTTCAAGTACTATCACCCACCAGTTCTGGGTTTTGACTCTGAATGTGTGTCAAGGAAGGGGCAGATGGAAGCTGGGGGAGGGGGAGGAGGATTGTGAATGAGTTGCTTGTGCGAGCTGGGGTGGGGAGCACTTTTTTTTTTAAAAGTTGGGGTAATTTCTGATTCCAACTTGAACGAAATTTGACCCCCTTGAGTGGATCTTGGTGACTTTCTACTTCAGTGAACTAGGTATCCAAATACCTGACTTTCCCAAAATAATCCTGTTGATATTATTCCAAACCTGGTGACAATATAATTTCTGTATGGGCTGCTTGTAGCTTCCCAAGGGGTCAAGGGCTTGGGGAAGGCCATTGGCTACTACAGCAATCTGTGTACTTGAAACCCCAAAAGGCAGTTTTGAAAAAAACTGTCACTTTTTCCCCAGAGCTGTGACTTTACTGCTGTTCTCCTTGGTTTTGTTAGTGGAATAAGTGCTCCTCATTGCCACTTGGGCAGGGTCCTTCCAACCCCAGTGAGTCAGAAATCTCCAGAATTGTGATTGTTGATCAGCTAACTGCTCTTCCACTCGCTACCCTTCTAGACTCCAAACAAATCAAGTTCTATTTCCACTTGGAGCCTTGGGGTCTTCACCCAGAGAATGTGAGACCATGGGAACCTCTTCTCTGGTCCTTGGGATGTTGAGATGTTAGCCGTAGAGCCTGAGGGAGATGGAAGAGTAGAAACTTGTGTGCTAATTGGTAGTGGTCTGGAAGACCAGAGGTGTCCCTGCCTATCACAGCTGCCTTTCTCTCCTTTGGGTCCAGGCTGCTTCGAATGCTGCATCAAGTGTCTGGGAGGAGTCCCCTATGCTTCCCTGGTGGCCACCATCCTGTGCTTCTCTGGAGTCGCCTTGTTCTGCGGCTGCGGGCATGTGGCTCTCGCTGGCACGGTGGCCATTCTGGAGCAACACTTCTCCACCAACACCAGTGACCATGCCTTGCTGAGTGAAGTGTAAGTGCTTCCCTTGCAAAATGTATGTGATATGTAACTACCTCAACATGTTTTCTGGAAGATACCACATACTCTTCTGAAAGAAAACTGATGCTTTTTAAATTCAAGCTTACTATAGGCAGATAGAATAAAGTCCACGGAAGGGGGGCATATGGGCCCCAGGGTGGGATCTCACCTGGAAACAGCAAGGTAAGCACACAGGGAATTCTACACAGCAATGGATACAGGGCACTGTAACAAAGTGACAGGTAGGTGCTGCTGATCATCTTATCAGAGAGTTGACATTGTTCCTAGGTAACAGATACCATCTGGTTTTGTCATAGATGACTGCCATCTTTGGAATGATAGGAGCTCCACTGAGGACTAGCCCCAACTCTAAGTCCACAGGAGTAACCTTTTAATGTTAATTATTCTGGTATAAGAATAAATCCCAGGGCATCCTCCAGTGCAGAAAAGGAGATATGCCAAGGATTTAGCCCCAAATCTCTGCCTTCCTGTTCTGGAATAATTTTCAATGGAGTCTTAATAACTCCCAAGCATAGAATCTCATAACTGTCAAGCCTAGCAGCAATATACATGTTACCTTGAAATACATTCTGCCTTTCCCATTCATTTAGCATTTTTGTTTTCTTTCCTTTAATTCCAAAGTTTCAGTGTTTGTCTTGTAAGAAACCTCTCCAGCAGAATGAAAAAAGGGACAGCTAAATTTTTGTAGAATAAAGAAACCATGTTGGAATAGTTCTTATGGAATTATCTGTTGATGAATGTCCTCCAAAGAAATGAGCAGGAGTAGGGTGGGTCAAAAGGAGGGATCAAACAGGACAAGGGGCTCACTGTATACTATTGTGCAGAGAAGAAATATTTGCCCAGACCGAACCTGGGAAAGGTGAATTGATTTAATTTGCCAGTGATCTCAATCCATGATTCTCAAACTTCTGAGCTTTAAAAAATGCCCAATGCCTCAACAGACCAATCAAGTCATCATCTCTAGGGATGTGATCTAAATCTAAATTTTCTAAAGCTCCTCAGGTGATTACAATGGTGGCCAAAGCTGAGGAACTGTCATTCCAGTCTCTCAATTTTCACAGGACAAACTTAGTAGTGAATTAACTTTCTGTAACTTAAGTCTACTTGACGTACTATCACTCTTATACTAAGTATTTCAGTAAAAAAAAAAAAAAAAAATACCTGCCCAAGTTCCTTCTTATAGAGGCCTTGAGGGCTGGGTTTATGGCTCAGTGGTAGGGCGCTTGCCTAGCATGTGTGAGGCATTGAGTTTGATTCTCAGCACCACATATAAATAAATATATAAAGGTCCATTGACAACTAAAAAATATTAAAAAAAAAAAAAAAGAATAAAAAGAGGCTTCAAGTGCTGAGTTTTATGAGTAACTAGGTCTGGGTAGGAAGCATTTTGAGATGGTGGAAGGAACATGCTGTCCATTGAGCCTGGGTTCAAATGCCGGCCCTGTCATGTGTATCCTCAGGTAAGTAACTTAACTCTTTAATGCCTATGGTTAAGTTCAAAATTAATCAATCACAGCATGGGACTTGGAAAGTAGTCAGAGATTCTGAGTGGGCCCTGCTCCTAACCAAACGAAATTTCTCCCATGCCTCACCTATAAGCCCATTATGGAAGGCAGGCCCAGGTTGATGAGGGTGGGCGGAAGGGCCTGCCCAGAATGCCCAACAAGGCTGCTAGGGCCAAAGGAGGCAACTTCGCTTCATGTCCTCTCTTCAGAATCAAGAAACAAAATTTCTAGTTGACAGTGAACTGAATGTTTCAAGATCTCTTCTTTTCCTAGGATACAACTGATGCAGTATGTCATCTATGGAATCGCATCCTTTTTCTTCTTGTATGGCATCATTCTGTTGGCAGAAGGCTTTTACACCACCAGTGCAGTGAAAGAACTACATGGGGAGTTTAAAACCACCGCCTGTGGCCGATGCATCAGTGGAATGGTGAGTGCGAACCTTGCTATTCTGGCAAAATTGACCAGCTATCTGAGAGTGGCTGGGGGTTTGTGACACAAATATTGTTCTTCCAATGTAGAGTTAGGAACATGAAAACCTTCAACATGTCATTGGTGATAAATGAAAATTTATGGCTGCTAATGGTAAAATGTTTCCTTTATGAACATGCAGATAAGGGTACTGAAGATTCATGTGGTGTTTCCACTATAGGAGGAGATAAAGTTTCAGATCAGCCCAAGGTTCCCTTTTGTCTTTGAATATGACTAGAGAGGCCCTAAAGACATACATGTTTGCTGTGTGTGGTGGTTCACGCCTATAATCCCAGTGACTCAGGAGGCCGATGCAAGAGGATCACAAGTTTGAGGTCGGTCTCAGCAATTCAGTAAGGCCCTGAGCAACTTATACTATCTGAAGATAAAAAATGTAAAGGGCTGGGGATGTAGCCCCACTGGTAGAGTGCCTCAGATTTCAATCCCTAATACCAAAAGAAGACATGTTCTATGATAAATGTCACGATCCTTCTATTAATATTTATCAGAACAGACTGCACCAAGTAGTCACTGGGAGGTACAAAGGTTAAAACAGGTTCTTCCTCAAGGAGTTTATTTATAGTCTAAGGGGGTGCAGGGAAAGGAGGGGGTTAGCCAAGAATGACCTGTGGGCCATATGAGGCCTACTGCCTGTTTTCATATGGTTCAAGCTGAGAAAAATTTTTTTATCTTTATTTCATGATATGTGAAAATTACACAAATTCAAGTTTTGGTGAATGTAGTTTTATTGGCACATAACCATGTTTTGTTTGCTTCTGGCTTTTGGCTGCTTTCCTGTTACACAGTGGTAGAGCCAAGTAGCTGTAATGGAGACTGTATGAGGCCCCCCAAATCTAGACCGTTTCCTATCTGACTTCTTATAGCCTTTGATCTAGAGGACAAATCTTGAAAAAATAATAATGGAAAGACAAGGTTAGAAAGTGCCACATCACAAAAGGTAACCTGGTGGTGGGGGGCTGGTAGGGAAGAAGCCAGTATTGGGTTTCATTTTTGACATGCTGAATTGCATTTTTTTGAAGATAAAATATTTATATATGAGTTTATAATGGCGTGCTCATGTCAAAATGTCTCACAGGAAGTTGGCTATGTTTGTGGCATTTGAAAAAACAGTCAGGTGTAAGAGCATTTTGGGAATCAAGAGAAGCACTAATGCGAAGGAATAAATGCCAGTCTCAGTGTTGAGCCTCCCCTAAGGGAAATACCTGCTATCACCACAGGGTGATAAGTTCCCTGGTAGGGGGAGCACTGACTGAGGGTACCACTGTCATGGGTCTGGCTTAAAGCCTGGGAGAGCCCACTGTTTGTAACAGTCCTCCTGCAGGAGGCACACTAGTTGGGGTGGAATTCTCTGTGATCCAGTAGCACGGGCATGAGGGTTGGGTCTGGGACGCAGAATACCTTAAGTTTCAGTGCAGATTCGGGGAGGGCTTTGCACCAGCACAAAGCAGAGGAAATTGACACCACACACGAGAAATGGGGGAAGAGGAACCAGCATGAACAGGACAGGAGGTCCAGAAAACAGATGGGGCTCCAGGGAGCCAGTCCTGTGACCAGGCTGGAAGGGAAGGGTCTGTTGGAGGAGGAGGGAAATAATACTGCTTGGGAGGGACAGGGATCAGATGAGGAAGGGCCTTGAGTGAAATTCAAGGATATGAATGAAATTGACAAAGACACGGGAGAGGGAGGGTTATGCATAGATCACCAATCTCCCTGTGGAGGGTAGATTTGAGAGAGGAAGGTAAGCAAAAGGGCCGAGCCACTGTGGAGATGTGAACTTGGCTCAGGAAGTAGGATGGTGAACAGGGGCAGATGCAAAGACAGGGGAGGTGGGCTCTGGGCTTGGTCACAGAAGTGAAGAGGAGAGGAGGTAATGAGTGCCCAATCTCTGGCTGTGTGTGTCATTAGAGATGGGGAAAGTAGATTCAATGTGACACATTAGGGCTTGGTGTTACCACCAGGAAACAGGTGGAGTTACCTAATACATCATGTAGAAAGGTTAGGATGGGATTTCTGAGAATGCTCTAGGCCAGGGTGACCAAGAGTTGGTCATTTAAGAGTGGTGGCCATGAACAAGTTGACATCAAGGAGGTTTGTGGAGGGGGATAGTGCTGGGGCACAATGTTGTCTACTGGCTAGGCTAAGGAGAAGGAGCCCTAGCAGGGAACTAAGGAAGAATGGCCAGAGAGGTGAGTATTATCTTGAGTTCAAGAAGGAAGGCCATGGCCAAGGTGATGCTCCCAAAGGGTCCAGATAATTTAACGTAACCTTATGTCCTATCAGCATATCATTCTTCCTTTAAATGGCCCCTTTAAAAATTTGAGCCAACGTCTCAAAAGTTGTGGCAAATGGCACTTGGGCCAGGATCTCTGGAAAAGCCTAGGCAGCCTACCACATTGCTTCAATCTACACATAGGTCCCTGTGCTTCGGCCAGACCTGCTGGTTTTCTGCCTAGGCTCCAAACTTAGGCAGGTTGCCTTCTGCCATCTTGAGCTACTTTGCCTCAGGCTGCTGCTCTCCTGTACCACTGTCGTCCAACAGGGACCCTGCCAAGTCCTTAATATCCCCTAGCACAAGTAAGATAAGGCTGTGAACATCAAGTTTACTGCTGGAGACCAAAGATGCAGCCCCTCCCAGTCCTGCCTGTCCCTGTTGTTCCCTCACATCCACAGGTCAGGGACTAACTCCACAATCTGCCTTTCACCCAGACCTGCCCCTTCTATGAGAAATAGGCCCCACAGGGAGCAGAGTATACAACCTAAGCTGCCTGGGGCTGCATGCCAACCTGTAATTTTGTCCTGAGTGACACCATTTGTGAGACCTCAGAATGGCTCTGCTGGGCCTCTTTTGGATCTGTTTGCCTAATCTCCTGTGTGAAAATGCTTGAACAAGAAGAACTTAAATTATCATTGCAGATGATATGATTCTATACCTAGCAGACCCAAAAGGGTCTACAAAGAAACTATTAGAGCTAATAAATGAATTCAGCAAAGTGGCAGGATATAAAATCAACACGCATAAATCAAAGGTATTCCTGTATATCAGCGACAAATCCTCTGAAATGGAAATGAGGACAACCACTCCATTCAAAATATCTTCAAAAAAAATAAAATACTTGGGAATCAACCTAACAAAAGAGGTGAAAGACTTATACAATGAAAACTACAGAACCCTAAAGAGAGAAATAGAAGAAGATCTTAGAAGATGGAAAAATATACCCTGTTCATGGATAGGCAGAACTAACATCATCAAAATGGCGATATTACCAAAAGTTCTCTATAGGTTTAATGCAATGCCAATCAAAATCCCAACGGCATTTCTTGTAGAAATAGAGAAAGCAATCATGAAATTCATATGGAAAAATAAAAGACCCAGAATAGCAAAAACAATGCTAAGCAGGAAGTGTGAATCAGGCGGTATAGCAATACCAGACTTCAAACTATACTACAGAGCAATAGTAACAAAAACAGCATGGTACTGGTACCAAAACAGGCGGGTGGACCAATGGTACAGAATAGAGGACACAGAAACCAATCCACAAAACTACAACTATCTTATATTTGATAAAGGGGCTAAAAGCATGCAATGGAGGAAGGATAGCATCTTCAACAAATGGTGCTGGGAAAACTGGAAATCCATATGCAACAAAATGAAACTGAATCCCTTTCTCTCGCCATGCACAAAAGTTAATTCAAAATGGATCAAGGAGCTTGATATCAAATCAGAGACACGCTGTCTGATAGAAGAAAAAGTTGGCTACGATCTACAGTCGGTGGGGTCGGGCTCCAAATTCCTCAATAGGACACCCATAGCACAAAAGTTAATAACTAGAATCAACAAATGGGAATTACTCAAACTAAAAAGTTTTTTCTCAGCAAAAGAAACAATAAGAGAGGTAAATAGGGAGCCTACACCCTGGGAACAAATCTTTACTCCTCACACTTCAGATAGAGCCCTAATATCCAGAGTATACAAAGAACTCAAAAAATTAGACAATAAGAGAACAAACAACCCAATCAACAAATGGGCCAAGGACCTGAACAGACACTTCTCAGAGGAGGACATACAGTCAATCAACAAGTACATGAAAAAATGCTCAACATCTCTAGCTGTCAGAGCAATGCAAATCAAAACCACCCTAAGATACCATCTCACTCCAGTAAGATTGGCAGCCATTATGAAGTCAAACAACAACAAGTGCTGGTGAGGATGTGGGGAAAAGGGTACACTTGTACATTGCTGGTGGGACTGCAGATTGGTGCAGCCAATTTGGAAAGCAGTATGGAGATTTCTTGGAAAGCTGGGAATGGAGCCACCATTTGACCCAGCTATTCCCCTTCTTGGTCTATTCCCTAAAGACCTAAAAAGAGCATGCTACAGGGACACTGCTACATCGATGTTCATAGCAGCACAGTTCACAATAGCAAGACTGTGGAACCAACCTAGATGCCCTTCAATAGACGAATGGATAAAAAAAATGTGGCATTTATACACAATGGAGTATTACTCTGCATTAAAAAATGACAAAATCATAGAATTTACAGGGAAATGGATGGCATTAGAGCAGATTATGCTAAGTGAAGCTAGCCAATCCCTAAAAAACAAATGCCTAATGTCTTCTTTGATATAAGGAGAGTAACTAAGATCAGAGTAGGGACGAAGAGCAGGAGAAGAAGATTAACATTTAACAGGGATGAGAGGTGGGAGGGAAAGGGTGAGAGAAGGGAAATTGCATGGTAATGGAAAGAGACCCTCAGGGTTATACAGTGGAGGGGGTAGAGAGAGGGGAGGGGAGGGGAGAGGTGGGGAGGGGGGAGGGTGGAGGATGGGAAAGGCAGCGGAGCACAACAGACACTAGTATGGCAATTTGTAAATCAATGGATGTGTAACTGATGTGATTCTGCAATCTGTGTATGGGGTGAAGGTGGGAGTTCATAACCCACTTGAATCAAAGTGTGGAATATGATATGTCAAGAAATTTGTAATGTTTTGAACAACCCACAATAAAAAATTAAAAAAAAAAAAAAAAAAAAAGAATTACAGCACTTGCAAGGACAAGTCGGTCTCCACAGGGAGTGTCATTCAGAAGTATTTCTGAAAACTGTGTTCCTGCAGGGATGAACCACTCATCTGCTGACTGTTTAGTCCTTTGTTGATCTGAGCATCCCTACTCCCAAATGGGATTCTTGTGACACTTTTTGTTTTTTGTTTTTGGTACCGGTGATTGAACCCAGGGGTGCTTAATCACAGAGCCATACCCCCAGCTCTTTTTGTTTATTTATTTTTTGAGACAGGGTCTTGCTAAGTTGCTTTAGGGCCTCACTAACATGCTGAGGCTGGCTTTGAACTTGCAATCCTCCTGCTTCAGCCTCAGAAGTTGCTGGGATTACAGGTGTGTGCCTGGCACACTTTGGCTTTTTAAGGTTAGGCTCACAATACAGAGGATAGGGCTGTTAACAAGCACTGAAGCAACAGGCTGAGGTCAGAAAGTTGTATGAGGTTGGGGAGACAAATGAGCTCTGACCCTGTTCAAGAAGGCCTTGCTCTCCTCAGTCTCTGTGGGAGGCTATCCCAATAACTCACTGAGGAAGCAGCTCTGAATGCTGGAGGCCACTATGACAGGAACAGCTCCCAGCAGGGCACTGGCCTTCTCTCTGAGCCCTGACCACCTCCGGAAGGAAAGACTCACCAAGACCAAGAATCAACAGTCCCCTTTGAGTCCTTGTGGTGTTATTAGAAAGATTGTAAAGTTTTCTTTTGAAGGGGAAAGAAAAAGAAACCTTAGTCTGAAGCAGCAAGATCCCAGGCACTGGGGAGGAAGATGAAACTGCTGAAATCGGCTTCTTTGAGTATTTTTAGAAATGCAAATGTTTCTGGAACTATAAATGTTTCTGGAACTATACTGAAAAAAGGCCTTGTTTCTGCAGTTTACCGGGCTGACCAACTGGAGGTAGCCCCTTTGAGCCTAACCTCCAGGCCAGCGTCTCACTTTCCAGGTGTTCCCTGCAGTATAAAAAGTCAGGTAGAATCCTCAGGTCTCACCATGAGCTTAAAAAATAACAGTCAAAGTAGAACTCGAACCTGCCCACACGCCCTGTGGGTGCACATTCTGCGAATAGAAATACCATAAGGTGTTTGAGGCAGCCTTTCAAAGCTGTCTGAAAATTGGTAGTCAAGATAGGTTACGAAAGTTGAGTACTGCAATTACCCTCTTCCTGGAATTGCCCATGGTGACTTGTGGGTGAGGACCATGAAGCTTTTTTCCTAAACCAATTGCTTTGCTTGTAAAGTTGCTGTGAATCTTAGAAAACTAGAAGAAAATGGGTATCTTATCAGATTCAGAAAGAGTGCCTCATGGGAGGCCCTGTCACTAATTAGTTCTGTGACCTTGAATAAGTAAGGTCACCTCTTGGGGTTAAGACAGAGACCTGAAAAAGCCCCCAAGGTGGCTCTGGGGATTACCATTCAAATCCTCTATGTAGGGGAATGGTCAGCTCCAGCTTCCCCTGCTCCCCTACCCTGGCCATTTCTTCTAGCTGCCCTAGCAGGGTGTGGTTCCCAGAATGCATCCTGCATCTGTGGCTTCTGTACTGGATGGGCCCAGAACTGCACAGTCCTTCCTCTGGGAGATGACCCGCTGGTGCAAACGATGATTCTTTCTCCTTCCTCTTGTTTTTGGCCTAGTTTGTTTTCCTCACCTATGTGCTTGGAGTGGCTTGGCTGGGCGTGTTTGGTTTCTCGGCAGTGCCTGTGTTTATGTTCTATAATATATGGTCAACTTGTGAAGTCATCAAGTCACCGCAGACCAACGGGACTGCGGGTGTGGAGCAGATCTGCGTGGATGTCCGGCAATATGGTACTTCTTTTTAATTTTCTCCCCCTTAATTTTTTGTCGTCTTGTTGCATATATCTGCACCTTAATTATTACAGAGGCATCCCCTTTACCCATGGCCTGTTTCACACATTCATCTATTGAATAGTTTACACTCTTTCCCTTCATATACTGTTTTCTGGATGGAAGCATTGCTGAGGCTTTTAACTTGCTAAAGGATGTCACTCAATAGTTTTATATTTTTAAGTGTTTAGTAAAAGATGTTTTTTTAAAAAAATATTTTTTTAGTTGTGGATGGAGACACAATATCTTTATTTACTTTTATATGGTGCTGGGGATCAAACCCAGTGCCTCATAATACAAGGCAAGCACCCTACTACTGAGCCATAGCCCCAGTAAAAGATGTTTTTAATGTAACATTACTTTATAATGCAATTTAGTCAGACTTCTGGGTATCTACTATAAAAATATTTTTCTTTGTTTTATAACTGACTTTTTATCTAAAATGATACATACTGTACAATCTAATTAATTTCTATATCCAACTCTTAAAAGTCTTTTTTAAAATGACTAATTGTTTAAACTTTATCTATACCAAAACACAACATAAATCCAGATGTATTTTTAAATCATCAGGATATATGCTGTGGAAACTGCCTTCAGCTCTCGGAAACTGCTTTAAATGGCTTATTCTCATGAATGGGATCCTCAAAATAGGGAATGAAGGTTGGTTCCTTGTGACAAGCCACAGAAGGGGCCGTGGGTTCCTCTGGTCAATTAATTTGAGACTTAACTTTCTGCTGTGAGAGAAGGCAGCATCTCAAGGAAGAAGTCTAATTACTGCTTCTAGCCAGGATGCTAGGAAATCTGTTCCCTGGCAGAAATAGGAAAAGAGATCTTCATTAGAACTGAAGAAGTAACTATCCTTCTAGAGCTTTTCTGGAAACAGATGAATATTTAATTTTTGCTTGTTTTTCTCACGTGTCTTATTCTCAACACCTTGTTTTACAACATAATATGGAAATAACTTAAAACTGCCCATCACACTAACCTCTTCTCACCAAAGTCCCATGCCAAACAACACTGTTCTTTATGATGGGTTTAGAAGCAGATCCTGAAGTTGGTTTTTAAAGCATTTGTGGAAAAATATTTAAATATGTATCATTTCCCTCTTCCTTAAAAAAAACTTTTCACCACAAATTTTTGGGGGTCCATAATTATATTTTTAAGTCCTCTGTATTTGCCCAGCCAGTTAGCCTTGCAATCACTGGCTTCACCGATAGTTTCCCATCCTTCTAAGGCATGAAGATTTACTATGGGCCATCACAGGGATGGAAGGAATAAGGACTTTTTATGTTTTTTAAATACTCTTTCCTTACCTCCTGGGAGAAGTGTAAATTGAACTGTGCTTAATTTTTAAGCACACACTTAAACGCATTAAAGAGGTAAAAGAGCAGTATCTCAAGGGACAACTGTCACTGTAGAAGGGACTCAGGATTACAAGAGAGATATCACAAAACTAGACTGTTTATCCAATCCTCTGGGATGAGGGGCACTAGTATTTTTTTTTTTTAAGTTTCCAATTTGATTTTCAATTTAAAAATATTCCCAACACATATATACAATTCTTTTTTTCCTGGTGCTGGCAATTAAATCTAGATTTTGTATATGTAGGCAATTGCTCCACCACTGAGCTACATCCTCAGCCCAGGCGTCCAAAATACACATCCAAAACTTTTTATTAGATTTCAATAAACTTAAAGTTTCCAAGTTTGTACTCTCAATTTTGACACTTCTCTCAGGTCGACCACTAGCCAAGAGCTTGAATAGTCAGGCCACAGCACAACATTCATATGGAAATTTATCTAATGTAATGCTTTCTGATGGGTCACCTTGCAGATACAGTTAATAAATTCACTATAGGGAAAACCTAGTTTTGAAACAATCTTTACAAATATCAACTCAAAATTGAACAAAGCACAATTTGTAGGAGGAAAAAACACCAAGCTGTTTAAATCTCTTACAGACCAGGTGACTTTGCTCTTGACCTATTGTCCAAATAGGGCTTACTCTATTCCAAAAAGCCTGTTCTGTAGACAGCAGACACCTCAGCTATTGCTGAGGAACAGTCTACAATTATGTTACAATTGGCAGCCAAAGTGGTGGGGTCTGTTAAGAACATGAGGTTGGCCGGGGATGTAGCTCCGTGGTAGAGGGCATGCTTACCATGTGTGAGGCCCTGAGTTCCATCCCAGCACCCGCCCCCCCCCCCCAAAAAAAAAGCCAAAACAAAACAACAAAAACCCACCCAAGGCACTAATTGGCACTAACTTTCTATTGGGATTCACTTTGCAGGTATCATTCCTTGGAATGCTTTCCCGGGAAAAATATGTGGCTCTGCCCTAGAGAACATCTGCAACACAAATGAGGTAAACCTGCCACGGGTTAGGGGGCTCATAGGTGATGGCCTCATAGATTAGACTGAGATAAAGGGTTCTCCCAGCTGTAAAAGGCAGGAGAGATGGTCAACATGCTATCATGGACAGCTCTTTTATGCAGACTCTTTAGTGAACTCTGTTACCATCACTATTCAATCAGTTTTGGCCTACAAAAATGGTCATTTCATATGTTCCAGCCCCTTCCATGAAGGGCCTTAGGAACTGATGAGCTTTTCCTTCTGTCAGTAATTTAGGAGTGATCCCAAATCTACAAATCTGAGAATTGATTCTTTCTGGAAATTTTTAAAAAGAATACGTCACAGAAAAAATACCAATTAATTTTCATAGAAAATTTCTCCTGAATTTGTGCATATACCAAGTTTTTAATTAGAGTTCACCATTAATCATTTCAGTTTCCTGACAACTTGCTGTTATTTCCTTATACACTCATCCTTAACTGGCAATTTAAAACCAAAGTCTTATGATATATTATCTTGATCCTACAATATTCTTTAGACATGGGCTTGTAATTGTTAATAAAGCAAAATTCTTAAATGCACCAGTGGGAACTTGCATAGTTAAGAAAACACCAATGTGATGTGCTTTTGAAAGACAACAAGTTAAGGGAATAGTCAGCCCCTACCCTAAAATGGATTGGCTCAAAGTAGAGTCTCCTATCCTAACCTTGGCTGCATACTGCAGTCACCAGGGAGCATTAAAATATACTGATGGCTGAGGCCCAACCCCTAGGTGTTCACATTCAATTGGTGTGGGGTGCAGCCTGGACATCAGAAAGTTTTTAAAGCTTCCCAGGTGATTCCAACGTGCAGCCAGAGCTCAAAGGGAACACAAGCTTGCTTCTAGCCTTTTAGAGAATAGGTACCAAGGAGAAGGATGAGGCAGCACCCCAAAATGGGTATAGACAATGCAGTCCACAGAAAATGCTTATGCTTGTGCCTGTTCTTTCCTAGTTCTACATGTCCTATCACCTGTTCATTGTGGCCTGTGCTGGAGCTGGCGCCACCGTCATTGCCCTGGTGAGTAAGTGCATCAGGACCACCCTAGTCTAGCTCCCCTCCCCCCAGCCTCTAAATGACAGATTTCCCTTCCAGCTTTTGCCAGCCTACTGAAGCAAAGGATCCTGGCACTCAGCCTTGGGTAACTGTTCCTCGTATAAACTTACCTCATGTCTAGTTTATAGGAAGTAGTAGTGGCTGCCTTGGTATTGATTGTAAGCGATATAATTTGGACTCTGGAAAGAAGAGAGGGTACCAACACTGGTTGACTGGGCCTAGCATGCTCAATTTAGTACTTAGTATCATGACTTCATTCATGGACAGTTGCTCAAGTGAGGCACTGCCCATTTCTTTGTAAAGAAATCTTCACTTGCATATGGAAATATGCATATATATATACAGATGTATACATATATGATTGATCTCATTATATGTGTGGTAGTTCTGTTCTATAAAGTCATTTCAAACACTGAAATATTGAATATTGAACCAGGCCCCTAAGGGGGAATATAGAGTAGGGTTGATATAAGCCTCTGGTCATATCTTCACCAACTTGTCAGTACACAACCTTGTTTTGTGTGTTTTAGTGTAAAGACACCTTATTTAATATATATTGTTGCTGGGCGTGGTGACACACGCCTGTAATCCCAGTGGCTTGGGTGGCTGAGGAAGAAGGATTAAGAGTTCGAAGCCAGCCTCAGCAAAAACGAGGTGTTAAGCAACTCGGTGAGACTCTTTCTCTAAATAAAATCCAAAATAAGGCTGGGGATGTGGCTCAACAGTTGACTGCCCCTGAGTTCAATCCCCGGTACCCCTCCAAAAAAAAAAAAATATATTGTTGGCCATGAATTCAACATTAATGAATCAACAGCACCACCACTCATGCCTGAATGAAGTCTAACACGCAGATTATCTCTGAGGTACAGCACAGTCTATTTGTGAGCCATCTTAAATGGCAGCACTTGCTAGACCTTCACAAGGACACTTGCATACAGTTTGAGCTGAAACAAGGTGGCAGAGTGTCACCTTGTTCAACCTCAGCTCAAATCTTACACTGCTCTGTATTTGTCCACTGACTAAGGAAGTGCCTCAAGTGCCTATTGTTTTGGTCACAAATAAATTTTAGTCAGCAGGCAAATTTTATTTTTAGGAATCTGCTCATAAAAATCAACTGTATAAAACACATAGGCCTTATGTGTGTAATTCTGGGATGCTACCTGGTTTGTGATGTGAAGAAAACCAATTAAGATTGGCAGAACAGGGGCTGGGGTTGTGGCTCAGCGATAGAGTGCTTGCCTAGCACATGCGAGGCCCTGGGTTCGATCGTCAGCACCACATAAAAATAACTAAATAAAATAAAGGTATTGTGTCCACCTACAACTAAAACATAAGTTTAAAAAAAAAAAGATTGGTAGAGTAAGGGGAGATCTCAGATGCTCGGAAGTGACTCATTCCCAGTTATTCTAAGTATTAAGTCATTCATTCCCATGATATACTACTAAAAGCACAACTTATGAATTCATGGTGGTGACTTGTTCTCTTGGCTGAGCAACAGGCAGGAAGAGAACTAATTGCTGCTGAGCAGGCAGTTTTGGAAAGATGAGGGGAAATAAGATGTTGAACTTGATCTTTCTCATGCTGCTGACCCAGCTCTTCATCTTATTATTCTTGAAACACATCCAAGGCTTTTTAATAAGCTTACTGAGGGTAGAGCCAAGGACTTAACATTGTATATGTGTGATGAGAAAAAGTTTGTGTGCTAGATGTGGAAACCATCTGTTGTGATTGGAAGTGGGGCAAAAAGAAACGCCGTAGACTATGAGATGGCATCCATCCCTGCCCAAGCTTAGAAGTGTTGGGACATTGGCCCTCACTGCCTGTATCTTACTGTCCTGTTTTGTTCTCTTCCACCAGCTGATCTACATGATGGCTACCACATATAACTATGCGGTTTTGAAGTTTAAGAGTCGGGAAGATTGCTGCACTAAGTTCTAAATTGCATAAGGCCAATAAGGAGCTTTAGAGAGCTCTACTCTGTAGCGTGAATATCACTGACACTTCAGACTAAAGCAGAGTCTGTTTCTGCAGTTTTGTTACAGTAATTTGTAAATAGCTTCAGTTAACTCATTCGCATGTTAGAATAATATGACTTACTATACATGAATTACAAAATAATGATGTGGCTATTTCCACATTTTGAAAAGCATTCAGTTACTTACTGACATTGGTGAGCATCCTTTCAAAAACTTTCTTGAAAAACGTTGAGCAGTATCTAAGTGAAGTATTAATGCTTTGACATACCTGCATTTTCCGTTACTTATGCTTGCTTGATAACCACTTTCAGTGATGAAAATGCGAACAAGTGCTGAAGATGAAAAGAAATGTTTTAATCTGGATTTTGTTTTGTTACTGTAGAAGATATTTTGCAAATTTTAAATTTGACTTAAAACAACTTTTTATGATCATATGGTTCACTACCAAATAAATGCCCCCACAAATAAAGCAGATGAAAATTTGAAGGAAAAGGGTGTCACCCATCTGATTTCTCTGAAAAAGGATCTATGAATTATTTTTTTTTTGCATAACACAATCATTCCTTTAGAGCCTACAAAATTGGTAACCTTAAATGGTTGTCTTTTGGTGAGTAGTAACTGTTTCTTCATAGCTAGTTGTCAAATGGCATGTAAGATTTTAATGGGAAGAGAAATTGGGCCTGAATCTGAAGGTCTCAAATATGTTGTGAAGGAAGTAAGAAATACAAGGAAATTGAAATAGATTTATTTTGCAGGAAATATGGGGAAAATGGGAAAGAAGTATGTGCCACATCAATTGTAAAGAAGGATAATGAGGATTTTTACATTTTGTGAAATGAAATAATGGCAGTTATAAAATGAAAAATAGTTTCACTACTAAAAATTTGTTAATTAAGAAACTGCATGCTTTGCTTATATAGTTCTTAATTTTGGTTTTGACATTTAATTTTTCCATGTTAAATATGTAGTTTAATTACTCAAAATAAACATTGTTCACACTTTTAGGTCTTTGGGGGAATTGATTTTTTTTATCCACAGGTGGAAAAGATCTTTGCATTATACTTAATTAAAATAAACACAACGGGTTTCTGAACTTCTGCATTAGTCTTTACAGTTATCCTCAAAATGGTAAAAAGCACTCTTATGTTTCATTTTTGCTTTTTCTTAACAATAACTTCGGCCATTTTCCCCCCAAGTTCACTATATTTGTGTACTAACTTTTCTTCAGCCTTTTAATATGAAGCCAACTAGTAGAGCATGCTCTGTGTCTGACAGCTCTGCTAGCAGAATGAGTATTAATACCGAATAACCCTTGCCCCTTTACAGTTGAGTCCATCTAATCTGACTAGCAGCTTGCTTTGCCTTCTCACGTGCTCACTAGCCATCATGCTCACCCTTCTTTTCCAGATCCACTTCCTCATGATACTGTCTTCTAACTGGGCTTACTTAAAGGATGCGAGCAAAATGCAGGCTTACCAGGATATCAAAGCAAAGGAAGAACAGGAACTGCAAGATATCCAGTCTCGGTCAAAAGAACAACTCAATTCTTACACATAAAATGTTTGCCAGAGTGTTTCTGCCGACGATTTTACAGCTCTGACAAATCATCAGCTGCTCTGCAGTACAGATGTGTATCCCACCAAACTAATGTAGATGTACCAACATTTCACTGTCTGTCTCAAGCTACTGGGATGTATCTCTAGGAAAACCTTCCAGTGGGTAAATCTTTCTTTAGGACAAATATTGGAGGTTTCATGTCAGCCATTTTAAAAGGCAACACTTTTGACAAACTGTTCATCCTTTGAAAATTTGTGGCATGTATGTACTTATTGCTAGAGCAGTTCTATCAAGACAGGCAATGGGAATACATCATACTCCTTGATAGGGACCTATGACATGCCAGCATCAAGGGATGTGACCATAAATTCACATATGCTATCTGCCCTCAAAAAATAAAATCTACATAGGAAATAAAATGGAATTGGTGTAAAGTTCCAGTTCTGACAGCTGACATTTATTTAACTTGGGCTCAAAGATAATGTGATTCCTATGACTGACTTTAAAAAACAAATTAGCACCCCTCAATTCCAGGACCCATTGATTTCCTCAGCTAATGAGAAACCTATTTTTCAAAAATACTACAAAACGAGAGCTTACAACAATTGTGCTGAACCTAACACAGAAGAAGCTGAATTCTGACTTGGTGACAAGCTTTCCAGAATCAGTTTTATAATAGATTTCATTTACACAATGATAATGACAGTTTTCATTCTTCTTGGGAAATAAGCATCAGCTCTGCCTTAATGAGTATTTACCTGAAATTTCTAAGAATTTATATAACCAGAGGCCCCAAACTCCTTCACAGAATTTTGTTCCATAAATATTTTTAAGAAGTGTTACCTTATTAAAATGACCACCATTCTAAACCATTTGTAAGTGGTCTGAATGGTGAGTTTACAGTTTCATAGCAACTATCTAAAACCTAACTGCAAATTGACCACAGACCTCTAACCTCCTACTTTTATAGACTTGAATACATAATTTAAGTTAGGGTTGGTATTTATTTCATTTCAATTCTTATCTTGGTTTCCTGGAATAATGTTTAATGTTCGGCAAGAAAACTGCTTGAGTTTAAGCCATTTCAAAAGAAATTTGCCTTCTAAGTCATTGTGTTCCAGAACATTAAGTGACTATAGGTACTGGGTTTTAGTGATGGTAAACTTTGTGTTGTTCTTTTTGAAATGATCCATATAGCTATTGGGTGCATCAGTGCTTTTCAAAGGGGCTGCATACTATAGGGTTAACTATGTATATTCATGTTAAGAGTTAACTTGTGATTTGGCTGTTTCCTGGATTTAAAAACATACATGTGCAGAAATGTATTCAAATGAAAGGAAGCATACCTTTATCAAGATGCTATTAAAATTGAACATCAAGTATAATATTTCATTTGGATTTTTTTTTTTTTGGTTCATGCCTAAAAATGCCTATTTGGATTTTTGTTTTTTAAATTGGAAGAAGCTCTCTTCTGTGTAGAACAGTTCCAAAGTAGCTTAGTGTTTTGTTTTCCTGTTGCATGACAGACTTAAATATTTTTTTTCCAGCAGTGAGGGTGCTGTTAGAGTCCAGTGTTTTAGAAGAGGCAGTGTCTAAAGCCTAATTTTACTTTTCTAATTCTGGTAGCTATTACCAGGAATTTTTGAAAGTTTTGTTGAAGTAGTCTAATATTTTTTATGTAAAGAGCATTAAATTTTGCTATGTATAAATTTTTGTAACCTAACAGTGAATCAATATTTTCTATCAGTGCCAAGGGCTTCCTGTAGTTCTATTCAAGTGTTACAATAAATATTTGTAGATAATAGTCAATACTTGTGTATGCTTATTTTAAAGATCTATTTAGGTGGAAATAGTTGTGGATGTACTAAGAGTAATGAAATAAAATTATGGCTTCATTTGCTTGCCTTTTTACCATACATAAATCCTATCTTTCTCTGTCCTCAGTATGGTGTCATTTTTAAATATGCATTATCAAGATTTCACATTTGCATAGAAATCTAATCTAAGAGTGCTGTTTTATTTCTGACAAAACTCTTCAGCGAGAGCATTTTAAGAAAACATTGGAATCCACTGGGCTATATTTTGCATAAAATGCCACTAGCACTTTATAGAGTTCTATGAATGAAAAGTATAGAATTTTTCTGACTAGCTTCTTCAATAAAATAAATAAAAGCCATCTACCGATAAGATTAACACAAGGCTTACTCTTGGGCAAAGTAGAAATGGGGAACCTTAACAGGGTCCATGTACCCTTGGCTAATTTTCAAACCCAAAGTATGGAAGTTGAGTGAAAGAAGAATTTATTTGGAAATGTAACAATCTAGTTGTAACAGTTACTCTTTGAAGCAGCAGAGCTAAATTTGTTACTAGGATTTCATTTTATAATTTTTTAAAACTAATCTGTCAGCATGCTTATGCATTTGGATATTCTACACCTGACCTTTCTCAGTGAGGACCAGCCTTTGTCATTATTGACACACTGACATTCTAAATGAGGTGCTGACTCTGCCCTTCATTCACGCCTGGCTCACACCCAGCAGGAGAACAAGTGGGAGCCCAATTAGCCTGCTATTTGTCACCGCACATAGTACCTTCTGTTTAAACAGCATTTTGTACAATTAACGTAAGTCACGTGAGTCTCCTGAATAAACTAAATTATGGTCTGATAAGATCACAAGCAGTCTCTTTAATTATTCAAAGTAATCGGGCCACCAAACGTAGAAACCTCTGGGGGGACAGATTTTTCTAGTTACATCTTGTAAAACTTGACTTTTAGGAGATGAAAAGTTAGAGTTACTGGGGAGAATCTACTCATTTAAAAACCAACAAGTATATTCATTAAAAATGAAGACCAGCTGGGCATGGTGGCATACACCTGTCAATCCCAGCAACTTGGAAGTCTAAGGCAGGAGGATTGCAAGTTTGAGGCCAGCCTCAGCAATTTAGCAGAGTCTGACTCAAAAAGGACTGGGGACATAGCTCAGTGCCCCTGGGTTCAATTCCTAGTACCCCTTCCCCCAACAAAAATAGACCAAAGATTCCACAATAAAGATATTATCTCAGTCTTCTATTACTGCTGTAACAAAATCTCATAGACTGAGTAATTTATAAAGAACAAATGCATTTCTTACACTTTTGGAGGTTGGGTAGTCCAAGATCAACGGGCTTGCATGTTCGCGGTCTGGTCTCAGATTCCAAGCTGCCCCCTCCAATGGGGATGAATGCCGTATTCAAACTGTGGAAGGGCAAAAGGGCCTACTTAGTTCCTTCTAGCTCTTTCTAGCCTCGTCACATTGGGGTTAAGTTCCACCATATGAATTTTGGAGAGACAAACATTCAAACCATAGTAGATGTGTTATTTCTAGACCCCAGAATGGAAAAGTCTGACTTTATATCAGAGGGAAAACCTGAGCATATTGGGGAAGATAGCCTCCTGTTCTATATGTGGAAGCCTCACTTTGGAGAGGACTTGAACTTCCAAAATGTAGGCCTGTAGTTCAACCACAGTAAGATAAGTATAACCCAAGACAAAAATGGGGAGGGGGGGAAAAGAGTTCATTTTAGTGTAATGAATGAGAAACTATGGCTGGAGAAGAGATTTCACTTGATTAGATTAGTTAAAAAAAAAACAAAACACTCCAGTGGATTAATACAATTTTTATTAAGAATTTTATCTGGTTATAGAGAAACATTTAGAAAGCATGATGGGTTACATAATTTCACTGTTGTATGTGAGAAGTCTGGGCAGCTAACATGATTACCAAATGTCATCTGGTTCTTCATGAGAAAAGCCTGTGGAACTAAATTAGGGAAAGAACAAAAATTAGACACTTTTATGATTCCTTCCTAAAGTTCTCATCCTTCCTTGAGGAAGGTTTTTGCTCTCAGAGTTTGTGTCAGGATCAACATCACAAGTTTAAAAAAAAAAAAAAAATTCACAATCTTATTTTTTAACCCAGGGGCACATAACCACTGAGCAACATCTCAGCCCTTTTTATTTTGAGACAAGGTCTTACCAAGTTGCTGAGGCTGGCTTCAACCCTTCTGCCTCAGCCTCCCCTGGCTACAGTGCCCAGTTCAACTTTTTAAAGGCAAGTTCAAGTATCTGACCATTTCTGTTGGGCTGACAAAATGAGCACTAATGGTTTGCTAAAGAGCAATGTTTAGGAAAACCATACCTTTCATCCTTGTCACTGGATAGCAGCGTGTCCACTACTGAGCATTCTCTGGTTATCTTTTTTGAGCTCTGACACAAAAGAATTTTGAAATTAGATATGAATTAATTTTATTAAACATTTTGATTTCTCTGAAGTATTTTTGCAATGTTGAGTCTCAAAAGAGTTGACTTTTAAACAGGAAATTTAGCAGCACATCAAAATAAACTGGTATACACTTTCAATACCTATAATTCAATCTTAAAGCAAAATCTCTTCAATGTTCTACCTAAACACAAATTATGAAATTTTGCCAAAAGAGCATAATATATTGAAGGGTTGAGGGCCCATTTGAAGTGTGGATTTTCTGTACTTTTAATTTTTGTCTTCAGTAAAGAAAACAGATTCCTGTCCCTAGGAGTTAAATCACAGAAGCCCTTGGTGCCATCCCCCAACCCCTCTGTCACCTAGATTCCCCTCCAAAGCATAGGCACCTTATCTGCAGATAACTCTTGGTCTTTCCCCTGCTGGATGATTTTCATATATTTCTCTAAAGGATTTTCTCCATGAGTAGATTTGTCTCTCACATCTTGAACAGTCATTTCTAATTCATTTTTCATTTCAATCTTCAGTGATTCTTCAATCATTCTCTATAAAATAGATGGGGGCCCAAAGAGGAAATAGATATATTTTAAAAGTTTTCAGTGTTTAAAAACCATAGTAATATAAACCTAATCCTGTAAAGTAAAACTGCATTCTAGAGTACCATATATAAAAATATATACATAAATATAATTATACCTATAAAATATATATCTTTAAATTAAAGTAACTGCTACCATCAAAGGGAGATGAACATATCCCAATGAAGGAAGGCATTAATTTGCTTAAAGTGTACTGTGCTTTTAGACCCAAATTAACCAGGAGTCCAGGGAACATTCATATGGAAGATTAATTTAAGCAAGACTTGGCAAGCATGCTAAATGGCCAGAGTAATCCATCTGCCTAGAACTAAAATCAGGCCACAAAAGGCAAAAAGAGAACTATGGGAATTATGTATGTCTGGAAGCAGTTGGGGCCTGGCACCTGTCTCCCCTGGTTCTTCTAGTCCTAGCTAGCTGACTTAGGAAGCCTCTTCTTTAAACCCCATCTATAAAGGGAAGCTCCACAGCAAAACATAGTCCACCTCATAGCCCTATGAGTTTAAAGATCAGATGAGCATGTATGCAAAAAATGCTTTCAAAAGCCATCCTTGGGCTGGGGTTATGGCTCAGCGGTAGAGTGCTCGCTTAGCACATACGAGGCCCTGGATTCAATCCTCAGCACCACATAAAAATAAATAAAATAAAGGTATTGTGCCCAACTACAACTAAAATAAATAAATAAATAAACAAACAAACATTAACCGCCCCGCCCCCACCCCCCAAAGCCATCCTTTATCATCACACTCAGAAGGTGTATGCTCTCCAGCCTTTCTCGTGATAGTATGACAAGGAGAGGAGGGGAGGCCTCTTCCATTACCTGCCACTTAGGATTTCTGGACACCATTGGCTCACCTCTGAGCTCCAGGTAACCTTCTGAAGGCATTCAATGGAGAAACTACTACAGAGACCTTAGCCAAACATATTACCCTTCCCTGATCCAGTTTTTCCAGTTCTCTTCGTTCCCTTTCTAGAGCTTCTTGCCGTTCACTCTGCCTTCGTTCTTCTTTTTGCCTTCGTTCTTTCATTTGCTTCTCCCATGATTTTTCATCTTCCTTTTGTTCTCCAAGTTCTTTCTGATCAATACCTAACAGAACATAAAATAGTGAGTAGCTTCCAGCATCAGATTTTCTAACGACTACGGGACTGTTGGATTTCTCGTGGACTGTTGACCTGCTTCAAGCTGCTGCTGTTATACTTTCATGATTTGCAAGCCCCTGCACATTCCTAGCACCTCACCTTTTACTCTCCCCAAGACAAGTATGACTTGACTTCACCATGAAGGACTCCAACTGTCCTCCCTGAGTGCCATGTTTTCTCTTCCTTTACTTATCTCCCTCCTCCAGCCTTTCTCCTGAAATCCTGCATTTCTGCCTCTGCATTTGATTTGGATTCCACCCCTATCTTCAGGACCCAGACTGAACCACTAGCCCCTATTTATTTATGCAGCAGTTTCCTAACTCTTTCTTCTTCCCATAAACATATTCAGGTCTCTGATACCCCAAAGAGGACACAACAAACCCCCCACTCTCCCCTGGCTGCTCTAGCCATGTTACACTGTTCAGTCCTTGCTTGTTCTACACTGATGGTGGCCCTTCCTGGTGTTTTAGTGATCACGTCAGCACTGATAATTCCCTTGTCTTTCTCTAGCCCCACACTCTCCCCAGACTCACATGCATGTTTCCAGTGGATTCCCTGACAAAGCATGTGGAAATCCTACAGCATGGGCTTCATCCTGAAGTACTGGTAGCCCTTTAATCATGCCCTTTCTAGGCCAGGAACAGTGGCATATGCTTGTAGTCCCAGCTACTTGGGTGGCCAAGAGACAGGAAGACTGTAGGAGCCCATGACTTTGAAGTCAGATTGGGCAACACATCAAGACCCTGTGTTGTAAAAAACAAACAAACAAGCAGACATGCTCTTCTTACTGTCTGTCCATTGGGCCACCAGGGCT